TACTCCGCTTGTGTGCAGATTTTGTGGACGGCCAAAACGGCTGCTGTATAGTATAGAGGTGTTGGTTTTGCTAGCTCTCAGTGGGGTCAAAGAACCCATCTGTTGGGGGGGGTTATAACTCAACTTCGCCGTGCGTCGATATTGTGCCGGCAGCATAGCATCAGATTTGGCCGCATTACTGTTGTTCTCACCCTTTCGTGGTGTTGTTGTTCGTTCTTGGCATCCAAATTGTAAGGGGATTAGGGTTCCTTTCGTTGTACTTGTGCGATTGTCGTCGTTCGCGATTGATTTTTTCTCGCGAACGCTACCTAGATTTCATCGCCCTTGTGATCATGCCGATTTTTTCTGTCGACCGCCATCTACTGTAGAATTGCATCGCCCTCGTGATTGTTGGTGGTGGTCGTTGTGTTGTGAGTTGATATTTAACGCGTGGTGTGCATGTCCCGTACTGTAGAAACGAAGACAGGCGCGACTTACTGTTGACTTGTGGCTTGATGTGAAGCGGCTGCCAAGGGCGCAAGCTGTAGAGCAACTACCCCAACCGCTATGGACGCGCTCGCTACCGGTTTTAGCGTTCAAAACCGAAATGGTCGAAACAAGCGGTGTTCTGTAAGTTTGTTAACACATTGTTTGTCCCTTGCTTCGTAAATGTTGTCGTCTCCGTATGCGAGGATCGTGGTGTGTCCAGGCTCAGTATTGTAGTGTACTATTATTGCAATGTCGTGACGTATTCTGGTTGTCGGTGTTGTCTCTTGTTTTCGGGTTTGATGGTACAGTAGTACCGCAGTTTCCTTTCACCACCACAGTGTGGAATTGTTGGGTGGTTTGGTTCGTGATAAGCAGGAAGGCGGATGGCATTTTTGGTTGTTGTGCGGGACGTCGAGAGATGGGTCACACGTACGTGTTTTGAAGCAGCAGGCCGCCCTTGGGTGATACTGATGCAATAGAGCTTCCGTGCGACCACCTGGTCTTGACAAGGTAAACTTCCCTTTCAGGGTCTTTTGCAAGTACACAAGACGTATGTGGGTTTCAATTGTGTGCTTGGGGTTCAAGAACGTGTAGGCGTTTTCGTGTTTGTTTCGTTGCGATGTCCTCGATAGAGACATCGGACTACTGTAATCAAGTTTTCTTTTTTTTCGTAGTTGCCAACGTCGAGACCCACCGGACAATCTTCGAGCTTGAGGCGTCCAAACGCCATACAAAAGACTACAGTAGGATTACGATGTCTCGCTACGTCGTTCGGGTAAGGGACTTGGACATGTGCGTGCGTTGATGATGGGAGAACACGATGGATGAATAAATCCCGCTGATAATGACCAAACAATCAACAGCAGTGTGCCAATTTGTCTGGAATGGCACACCGTAGCGGCCCCAACGTGAAGCAGGCGGCTGCGATTGTCCCATATTTCCCGCCTTGCGCGTGCCAGTCCCTCACAACTCCAAATCTACCGCCGTAAGCTCGTCGCTCCAACTCAACCTTCCCAACATTCAAGTAGTACACCTATTCGTGTCTACGGCGGTACATAAGGCTCAAAGGGCCCACACACCTACTGGTGCATAGCAGTGCACAAGGGGAAATATAAAGTTGCGCTGCAGAGGTGGACCAACACGCACAGTTGGATGGAAAGTTGTCAGTGGTGCTGGCCCATCTGCTGCTGCAGTGTGCCGTGAGTGCGGCGCGGCGCGGTGTTCGATACCGCCCTGGGCCACGAAGAAGCAACACTCACTACTGCTGTAGACCACATGTAATAGAGCATGTACCCTGCTTACACTCCGCAACAAGTTGCGTTTCAGGGAGGGCGTGAGGGGAACGCTGATGATGTGGTTGTTTGGCTGTGAGAATCGGATATATCAGTCCATGTGTAACGGTTTTCCGGCTGTAACTATGTATGTAGGTGGACAGGCCATCCATACCTTCGACTTTTACACCTTTACCAACCACTCGGGTAAATAAGAGGCCCGAGCCCCGAGGATCTGGTCGGCGTCGCGGCCGGATGGTCCTTGACGTACGGAGTACGGAGTACAGCAGTACATACATGTAGTATTGTGCCGCATTGGCGTAGATCATGTTGGACAAGTTCAACTTGGTGCCACTGCTGTATACACTGACTACAGTACTATCAGGAGGCACCATTGGAGCGCTACTGGAGACGGGAAATGCACTACTGGAGAACTTCTTACTACTGTCAGTGGCTGTGTCAACCGGGTGAAATCGGGCTGTGGCTTAGCTTTCCGAATAAATTCTTCGGCGGTCCGTCCGTCTACCTCTATACCATCGTACTTCTCAACTGACGACAGCGGAGATGTCGTAGATTTCGAGATGTGAGAGGAGGCGTGGAGCAGTGACTCATCATACGTACGTACCTGGTCTCCCAAAAACACACGGTGAGACAGAGAAACAACGCGTATGCCGGGCTATAGAGGTGGTCCATCTGGAGAGGAAGGCGGTGACGGTACAGTGCTGGAGAAACGTGGTCAGGCTGGAGGCTGACTGGCGGCGGATGTGGTGCATGTGTCCACGGGTGGATGTCTGGATCCTTCCCAGAAAACGTTTTTGGACTTGTGCGCAACGGCCCGCACGCTTTTCCCATCTTCCCACCGCATCAAAATGCGAGACCAAAACTTCTGGGAAACGTCGGCACTGGGAGATTTAAGGAATAGTACACGACATCGCTCAAGGTTCACACTACAGCCACCACCCCCCAACACACACCACTCGGCTACCCATCTCAAGCCTCAACATTCTCAACGCGCACCACACACTCCATTCTACAGCAGTACACACGAGCTTTCGCTAGTGCCTGGTGAGTGCGGTACAATGTATGACTCGGCAAGTTTTACTTGTAACGTCCTGTGTCAACGAGGAGGCTACAGCTGTAGTCTATGGCGTCTGGACCACAAGCAGTATACTCAGCACATCGCTACGCATCTATCAGGGACCTTGAGCCATTTCGTGTAGGATGAGCGTGTTCATGCATGTCGTCGATATCCTGGCATGACGAAAACGTGGTTGCTGCTGCTGTCACCAGGCGAACACTCGCGTATGAAGACGATGTCAACACATGATTAGGGTGTTTTTTGGGAAGAGTTGACCAGTGCGCCAAAGCATTCAATGGGTACACGTATGCGAGAGCAATAAAAACATGAACAACGGCAGCGTTGAGAAGACATGTTGTAGTCGCTGCTCGAAGTCTCCAACATTCTCCACCAGCTGTGGCCCCGACCAAGGCCTGCAACACCATGAAAATTGAAAACATGCACACCGACCGACCGTACGCCCTGCTCCCACCTCACTCTCTCTGAAACTCAAATGTATCTCGGCACAGGCGAAAACAAATCCGCTTGCAGACAAGAAGGACGCTGCCTCGGCCAAGCAAGCATTGACTTCACGGTCTCCTCGCCACGTTCGGGAAACAGCAGCTTTTTTCACGTGGCCGACGCATCATGGAGCTCCGACGAAGCGCAGCCTTAGCCCTGGTCGGCCTTCTCGCCGCCACCAGCACCGCGGCAGCGGCGGACACCCCTTCCCCCAACGAGCCCATCCCCAAGCCCGACTGCGACTCCGACATCGCGGTCTCGATCCGTTACGCCGGCACCACGGCGCGCCTGTATCTCGAGTCGGCAGACAACGGCACCACCCGCGGCGGCTGCGTGACCCTTGGGCAGATCTGGGAGAGTCGGGCCGGCAAGGGGCCGCTGTACGCGGTAGACCCTGACTCGGGGAACGTGAGCACTAGCGCGACCGGCACGTGGCTTCTCACGGAGGAACTGTACGTGGAGGACGGCATCACGCTCAAGGTTCGGATTGAGACTGATGAGCAATGTTGACAAACATGGTAGATTTTCATGTTTGGAGGCATGTTGTGATGGGTCCAACGCGATTCTATTACTTCTATGTAGGACGACTCGCTCTGGTGCCTTTTTGCCATATTTGTACAGCCGACGGATCGTTAGCCTACATGAAGGTTTGTCGCATTTCGGGTACAGATCGGGGGGGCGCATCGTCGACCACCTCTAGGCGAGCTGCTGTTGAACCTTCTTCTACTGCTGTAGAACGTATCGCGTAGGCACACAATCCCAGCACACGCAACGTGTGTGCTGGTGTCAACAAGGACCTCGTAAGGGCTGGAAAGGGGCGATGCCTGTCTGATCCCAACGTCTCGATATTGCTTTGACGCCTGTTGCTCCCGTCTGAACAGGTATACGGGTCGGAGGCCGGAGGAGACGCTGACGAACTCCGACTGCTGAGCACTAACGAAACGTTCATCAACCTCCGAGCGCATGGCGGGAGCCTGGACTTCGTCAGCACCAAGGTAGACAAGAAGCGACAGCAATCAGCCCGCGCGGGGCGTTGTCGCCCTCTGTTGCTCATTTTTCGTGGAAGCTGATTGGTCCACTCGGGGTGCCTTTTGCGTCACGGTCAGGGTTTCCCAGAACCGTTCCTAGAACCGTTTCGTTGTTTTCCGTCGTACATTCGACCGTCTGTGTTCCTCGCGCTCTCTGCTGGTGCTGCCCGTTCCTCCTCTTCTTTCACCGCGCTACGCTCCCATCGTACCCCAACGTTTCATCTGTTTCGCAAATTATCACACTTTTCCAACGCTCGCTCCCCGCTCCGCCTCTTGCCCAACGCTGCTGAACTGAAGGTCTTCTCGTGGGACACGAGCACCAACTCGCCGGACGAAGACGAAACCGACGGCCGGTCGTACATCAGCGCCATCTCGGAGATCATCACCGACGAGGACGAGACTTGCGAGGGTAACGCCAAGAACACCATGGGGGAGGCCCGCATGGACATCGAGAGCAGCGAGATCGGCTACCTTGGGTACTGGGACAGCGAGAGCTATGGCCTCACTTGGAAGGTGCATACATGTAGTGATTCGGTTTGTGTCGTTTTTGATTCTACATGGTGCGGTTGGTTTTGATTGTCGTGTCCTATGTCGGCGAACGATGTATTCTGGTAGGTACGTACGAGGACACGTGTTTGGGAGCTGGCGACGGGTGTGAAGAATTTTCAACCAAGCCGTGTGAACAAACACGTCGTGCGTCCTTCGCGGCGCGTACCAGTGGAATCGAGTGGCTGTCTGCGGTGGAACACTTTTAACCTCAGTTGTTGGTTGGTTGCACTGCGAATGAAACGCCCCAGGTTCGCGGGTTCTGCGAGGACAAGTCTAACCCGGAGGTGTTCGACGACGTGAACGTGTACGGCAACGTGTACGACAGCGACATCCACCACATGAACTTCGGCCTCTACACTTACGGTAAGCTTCGGGACGTTGATTCGGTTTTCGAGTTCTCGTGGTTGGCTGCTGCCGACAGCGTATCCGCGAGTTTTCGGTGCAGTGGTTGTGTCGTGCGTCAATATTCCTCAGCAACTACTGTAGTCATGACTTCTTCTGTCTTGCAGATCTAGTCTACTCCTGTGACCCCCCACCGATCCACGCCCTTCTCCCTGTCCGTCACGCCACCCGACAGGCCACCAGCAGGGAGATTGGAGGAGGAACAAGATGCACGACAACTCCGGATACGGTAAGCTACTTCTTCTTGGTTGCGTCGAAAGATCTTGTTTCTTCCCTCGTAGTGGCGGCCTTTCGTTCCTATTTCGGTCCGCTGTTAGCTCTGCTGGTGTTAATTACCGAGTAGTTGGTCGCCCGAAAGCAGGGCGGTATCTCTCATGACAGTAAGTGTTGAAGGTTTTGCGATACTGTACCCCCTTACACCCACGTCATCATCTCTCATTTGTATGTCCCGCTGTAACCCCTGCCTATGCTATGTTGCTACCGGCCAGGCTTCGACCCTCACGACGACAGCGACTTCCTCACCATCCACGACAACGAGGTGTACAACAACGGCTACCACGGTGAGACTACTGTACGATCAAGACGAACAAACCTCTTGCATACCCACCCTCTATTCAGTTGGGCTTGCCACTTTGTGTGCTCCCTATATTAGTGCCGTAGCACACGGCGAACGGACATGGTGGGCTGTCGAGTGTCATTTGAGATGCCATATTTTTCTTCTCTGGTATCGCTGCCATCGATTTGTTGATGCCATCGGGAAATGAGCCTTCGGGTTCCCCTTTATCTCACACCTACCTCCCCCTCTTGCGACACTTCCCCCTTCTTTGATGACTTCGGCTATCCAGGTATCATCGCCTCCAAGCGCTGCAACGGCGTGTCTATCCAGGGCAACGAAGTGTATGGCGGTGCCGAGACTTCTGCGGGCATCTTCCTGCACCGCAGCAGTGACGACGCCATCGTCAAGGGTGAGTCGTATTGCTTTGTTCTTGGCGGTGCTCGGGTGTGTTACTGTGGGCCCTGCCGTTGGCCGTCCCTACGCGCGTACTCCTGTCCTTTCGATGCTACTGTTTTACCGACATAGATGCTGGCCTGCCTCCCCCCCTTCGCCTTCTTTGAACTGTATACGAAAATCTGACCCCCGTTGTTTTTTTCTATTGCTCTCAGGGAACTACGTGCACGACAACGGCGACGCCGGGTTGGCGATGCTCGAGTCGTTCAACGCTGATGTGTCCGAGAACACGTTCGAGAACAACAAGTACGGCGTGCGGTTCAGCGTGGGCTGTGCCGACAACGTCTTCTCCAACAACACCATCAGCAACAACGCCGAGTAAGTGTGACGAAGGCAGGGAGAACGATCAAGCGGACAAGGGACAGCAGTACATGTAGTGGGTCTTCTTTTACAACAGGCACAAACCCTCAAGATAGCGTGCTCCAAATGGAATTGATTCGATTGTAGTGGTGGGGCATATGGGGCAGAGCAGAGAGACCCGATAGCACAGCCGGGTTCGTTTCTCATCCAGTCCTGCGACATCCACTCTGCCGTTTACCACCTGGTATATCGGCATTGATCCACGTGAAAATGGCACTGCAATGGTGCTCGTTTGCCGGGGTGCTCACCCCCCATGACGCCCCCCGCCCCCATTTTGTTCCGAAAAGAGATGTACTCACCCGAACCCCCCCCCCCTCTCTCCGCCTCTTTCAGGTACAACGCCTACTCGTACCTTGGGACGGACGAGCCGGACGTTGTTTCTTCCGGGCGGTCCCAGAACAACGTATTCTCACAGAACTCCTTCTCCGGCGCTGAGGAGACGATCAAGATCAAGGAGGCCGACGGCACCCAGTTCCTCGACAACGTCTTCGAGGTTGGCGATGCCGATGGCCTGGTGGTGCGGTTCGACAATGCCACCGAGAACCTCATGCAGGGCAACACCGGGCTCGACGACGGGGAGTTCGAGCTCAAGGTGGACAACGACGCCTGCTTTGACGGGGAGGCGGACTCCGGCTACGAGCCCGTCTGCTGAGTGACATAGCCGTACTCCGCTTGTGTGCAGATTTTGTGGACGGCCAAAACGGCTGCTGTATAGTATAGAGGTGTTGGTTTTGCTAGCTCTCAGTGGGGTCAAAGAACCCATCTGTTGGGGGGGGTTATAACTCAACTTCGCCGTGCGTCGATATTGTGCCGGCAGCATAGCATCAGATTTGGCCGCATTACTGTTGTTCTCACCCTTTCGTGGTGTTGTTGTTCGTTCTTGGCATCCAAATTGTAAGGGGATTAGGGTTCCTTTCGTTGTACTTGTGCGATTGTCGTCGTTCGCGATTGATTTTTTCTCGCGAACGCTACCTAGATTTCATCGCCCTTGTGATCATGTCGATTTTTTCTGTCGACCGCCATCTACTGTAGAATTGCATCGCCCTCGTGATTGTTGGTGGTGGTCGTTGTGTTGTGAGTTGATATTTAACGCGTGGTGTGCATGTCCCGTACTGTAGAAACGAAGACAGGCGCGACTTACTGTTGACTTGTGGCTTGATGTGAAGCGGCTGCCAAGGGCGCAAGCTGTAGCAACTACCCCAACCGCTATGTATGGACGCGCTCGCTACCGGTTTTAGGGTTCAAAACCGAAATGGTCGAAACAAGCGGTGTTCTGTAAGTTTGTTAACACATTGTTTGTCCCTTGCTTCGTAAATGTTGTCGTCTCCGTATGCGAGGATCGTGGTGTGTCCAGGCTCAGTATTGTAGTGTACTATTATTGCAATGTCGTGACGTATTCTGGTTGTCGGTGTTGTCTCTTGTTTTCGGGTTTGATGGTACAGTAGTACCGCAGTTTCCTTTCACCACCACAGTGTGGAATTGTTGGGTGGTTTGTTTCGTGATAAGCAGGAAGGCGGATGGCATTTTTGGTTGTTGTGCGGGACGTCGAGAGATGGGTCACACGTACGTGTTTTGAAGCAGCAGGCCGCCCTTGGGTGATACTGATGCAATAGAGCTTCCGTGCGACCACCTGGTCTTGACAAGGTAAACTTCCCTTTCAGGGTCTTTTGCAAGTACACAAGACGTATGTGGGTTTCAATTGTGTGCTTGGGGTTCAAGAACGTGTAGGCGTTTTCGTGTTTGTTTCGTTGCGATGTCCTCGATAGAGACGTCGGACTACTGTAATCAAGCTTTCTTTTTTTTCGTAGTTGCCAACGTCGAGACCCACCGGACAATCTTCGAGCTTGAGGCGTCCAAACGCCATACAAAAGACTACAGTAGGATTACGATGTCTCGCTACGTCGTTCGGGTAAGGGACTTGGACATGTGCGTGCGTTGATGATGGGAGAACACGATGGATGAATAAATCCCGCTGATAATGACCAAACAATCAACAGCAGTGTGCCAATTTGTCTGGAATGGCACACCGTAGCGGCCCCAACGTGAAGCAGGCGGCTGCGATTGTCCCATATTTCCCGCCTTGCGCGTGCCAGTCCCTCACAACTCCAAATCTACCGCCGTAAGCTCGTCGCTCCAACTCAACCTTCCCAACATTCAAGTAGTACACCTATTCGTGTCTACGGCGGTACATAAGGCTCAAAGGGCCCACACACCTACTGGTGCATAGCAGTGCACAAGGGGAAATATAAAGTTGCGCTGCAGAGGTGGACCAACACGCACAGTTGGATGGAAAGTTGTCAGTGGTGCTGGCCCATCTGCTGCTGCAGTGTGCCGTGAGTGCGGCGCGGTGTTCGATACCGCCCTGGGCCACGAAGAAGCAACACTCACTACTGCTGTAGACCACATGTAATAGAGCATGTACCCTGCTTACACTCCGCAACAAGTTGCGTTTCAGGGAGGGCGTGAGGGGAACGCTGATGATGTGGTTGTTTGGCTGTGAGAATCGGATATATCAGTCCATGTGTAACGGTTTTCCGGCTGTAACTATGTATGTAGGTGGACAGGCCATCCATACCTTCGACTTTTACACCTTTACCAACCACTCGGGTAAATAAGAGGCCCGAGCCCCGAGGATCTGGTCGGCGTCGCGGCCGGATGGTCCTTGACGTACGGAGTACGGAGTACAGCAGTACATACATGTAGTATTGTGCCGCATTGGCGTAGATCATGTTGGACAAGTTCAACTTGGTGCCACTGCTGTATACACTGACTACAGTACTATCAGGAGGCACCATTGGAGCGCTACTGGAGACGGGAAATGCACTACTGGAGAACTTCTTACTACTGTCAGTGGCTGTGTCAACCGGGTGAAATCGGGCTGTGGCTTAGCTTTCCGAATAAATTCTTCGGCGGTCCGTCCGTCTACCTCTATACCATCGTACTTCTCAACTGACGACAGCGGAGATGTCGTAGATTTCGAGATGTGAGAGGAGGCGTGGAGCAGTGACTCATCATACGTACGTACCTGGTCTCCCAAAAACACACGGTGAGACAGAGAAACAACGCGTATGCCGGGCTATAGAGGTGGTCCATCTGGAGAGGAAGGCGGTGACGGTACAGTGCTGGAGAAACGTGGTCAGGCTGGAGGCTGACTGGCGGCGGATGTGGTGCATGTGTCCACGGGTGGATGTCTGGATCCTTCCCAGAAAACGTTTTTGGACTTGTGCGCAACGGCCCGCACGCTTTTCCCATCTTCCCACCGCATCAAAATGCGAGACCAAAACTTCTGGGAAACGTCGGCACTGGGAGATTTAAGGAATAGTACACGACATCGCTCAAGGTTCACACTACAGCCACCACCCCCCAACACACACCACTCGGCTACCCATCTCAAGCCTCAACATTCTCAACGCGCACCACACACTCCATTCTACAGCAGTACACACGAGCTTTCGCTAGTGCCTGGTGAGTGCGGTACAATGTATGACTCGGCAAGTTTTACTTGTAACGTCCTGTGTCAACGAGGAGGCTACAGCTGTAGTCTATGGCGTCTGGACCACAAGCAGTATACTCAGCACATCGCTACGCATCTATCAGGGACCTTGAGCCATTTCGTGTAGGATGAGCGTGTTCATGCATGTCGTCGATATCCTGGCATGACGAAAACGTGGTTGCTGCTGCTGTCACCAGGCGAACACTCGCGTATGGAGACGATGTCAACACATGATTAGGGTGTTTTTTGGGAAGAGTTGACCAGTGCGCCAAAGCATTCAATGGGTACACGTATGCGAGAGCAATAAAAACATGAACAACGGCAGCGTTGAGAAGACATGTTGTAGTCGCTGCTCGAAGTCTCCAACATTCTCCACCAGCTGTGGCCCCGACCAAGGCCTGCAACACCATGAAAATTGAAAACATGCACACCGACCGACCGTACGCCCTGCTCCCACCTCACTCTCTCTGAAACTCAAATGTATCTCGGCACAGGCGAAAACAAATCCGCTTGCAGACAAGAAGGACGCTGCCTCGGCCAAGCAAGCATTGACTTCACGGTCTCCTCGCCACGTTCGGGAAACAGCAGCTTTTTTCACGTGGCCGACGCATCATGGAGCTCCGACGAAGCGCAGCCTTAGCCCTGGTCGGCCTTCTCGCCGCCACCAGCACCGCGGCAGCGGCGGACACCCCTTCCCCCAACGAGCCCATCCCCAAGCCCGACTGCGACTCCGACATCGCGGTCTCGATCCGTTACGCCGGCACCACGGCGCGCCTGTATCTCGAGTCGGCAGACAACGGCACCACCCGCGGCGGCTGCGTGACCCTTGGGCAGATCTGGGAGAGTCGGGCCGGCAAGGGGCCGCTGTACGCGGTAGACCCTGACTCGGGGAACGTGAGCACTAGCGCGACCGGCACGTGGCTTCTCACGGAGGAGCTGTACGTGGAGGACGGCATCACGCTCAAGGTTCGGATTGAGACTGATGAGCAATGTTGACAAACATGGTAGATTTTCATGTTTGGCGGCATGTTGTGATGGGTCCAACGCGATTCTATTACTTCTATGTAGGACGACTCGCTCTGGTGCCTTTTTGCCATATTTGTACAGCCGACGGATCGTTAGCCTACATGAAGGTTTGTCGCATTTCGGGTACAGATCGGGGGGGCGCATCGTCGACCACCTCTAGGCGAGCTGCTGTTGAACCTTCTTCTACTGCTGTAGAACGTATCGCGTAGGCACACAATCCCAGCACACGCAACGTGTGTGCTGGTGTCAACAAGGACCTCGTGAGGGCTGGAAAGGGGCGATGCCTGTCTGATCCCAACGTCTCGATATTGCTTTGACGCCTGTTGCTCCCGTCTCAACAGGTATACGGGTCGGAGGCCGGAGGAGACGCTGACGAACTCCGACTGCTGAGCACTAACGAAACGTTCATCAACCTCCGAGCGCATGGCGGGAGCCTGGACTTCGTCAGCACCAAGGTAGACAAGAAGCGACAGCAATCAGCCCGCGCGGGGCGTTGTCGCCCTCTGTTGCTCATTTTTCGTGGAAGCTGATTGGTCCACTCGGGGTGCCTTTTGCGTCACGGTCAGGGTTTCCCAGAACCGTTCCCAGAACCGTTTCGTTGTTTTCCGTCGTACATTCGACCGTCTGTGTTCCTCGCGCTCTCTGCTGGTGCTGCCCGTTCCTCCTCTTCTACGCTCCCATCGTACCCCAACGTTTAATCTGTTTCGCAAATTATCACACTTTTCCAACGCTCGCTCCCCGCTCCGCCCCTTGCCCAACGCTGCTGAACTGAAGGTCTTCTCGTGGGACACGAGCACCAACTCGCCGGACGAAGACGAAACCGACGGCCGGTCGTACATCAGCGCCATCTCGGAGATCATCACCGACGAGGATGAGACTTGCGAGGGTAACGCCAAGAACACCATGGGGGAGGCCCGCATGGACATCGAGAGCAGCGAGATCGGCTACCTTGGGTACTGGGACAGCGAGAGCTATGGCCTCACTTGGAAGGTGCATACATGTAGTGATTCGGTTTGTGTCGTTTTTGATTCTACATGGTGCGGTTGGGTTTGATTGTCGTGTCCTATGTCGGCGAACGATGTATTCTGGTAGGTACGTACGAGGACACGTGTTTGGGAGCTGGCGACGGGTGTGAAGAATTTTCAACCAACCCGTGTGAACAAACACGTCGTGCGTCCTTCGCGGCGCGTACCAGTGGAATCGAGTGGCTGTCTGCGGTGGAACACTTTTAACCTCAGTTGTTGGTTGGTTGCACTGCGAATGAAACGCCCCAGGTTCGCGGGTTCTGCGAGGACAAGTCTAACCCGGAGGTGTTCGACGACGTGAACGTGTACGGCAACGTGTACGACAGCGACATCCACCACATGAACTTCGGCCTCTACACTTACGGTAAGCTTCGGGACGTTGATTCGGTTTTCGAGTTCTCGTGGTTGGCTGCTGCCGACAGCGTATCCGCGAGTTTTCGGTGCAGTGGTTGTGTCGTGCGTCAATATTCCTCAGCAACTACTGTAGTCATGACTTCTTCTGTCTTGCAGATCTAGTCTACTCCTGTGACCCCCCACCGATCCACGCCCTTCTCCCTGTCCGTCACGCCATCCGACAGGCCACCAGCAGGGAGATTGGAGGAGGAACAAGATGCACGACAACTCCGGATACGGTAAGCTACTTCTTCTTGGTTGTGTCGAAAGATCTTGTTTCTTCCCTCGTAGTGGCGGCCTTTCGTTCCTATTTCGGTCCGCTGTTAGCTCTGCTGGTGTTAATTACCGAGTAGTTGGTCGCCCGAAAGCAGGGCGGTATCTCTCATGACAGTAAGTGTTGAAGGTTTTGCGATACTGTACCCCCTTACACCCACGTCATCATCTCTCATTTGTATGTCCCGCTGTAACCCCTGCCTATGCTATGTTGCTACCGGCCAGGCTTCGACCCTCACGACGACAGCGACTTCCTCACCATCCACGACAACGAGGTGTACAACAACGGCTACCACGGTGAGACTACTGTACGATCAAGACGAACAAACCTCTTGCATACCCACCCTCTATTCAGTTGGGCTTGCCACTTTGTGTGCTCCCTATATTAGTGCCGTAGCACACGGCGAACGGACATGTTGGGCGGTCAAGCGTCATTTGAGATGCCATATTTTTCTTCTCTGGTATCGCTGCCATCGATTTGTTGATGCCGTCGGGAAATGAGCCTTCGGGTTCCCCTTTATCTCACACCTACCTCCCCCTCTTGCGACACTTCCCCCTTCTTTGATGACTTCGGCAATCCAGGTATCATCGCCTCCAAGCGCTGCAACGGCGTGTCTATCCAGGGCAACGAAGTGTACGGCGGTGCCGAGACTTCTGCGGGCATCTTCCTGCACCGCAGCAGTGACGACGCCATCGTCAAGGGTGAGTCGTATTGCTTTGTTCTTGGCGGTGCTCGGGTGTGTTGCTGTGGGCCCTGCCGTTGGCCGTTTCTTTCGCGCGCACTCCTGTCCTTTCGATGCTACTGTTTTTCCTACATAGATGCTGGCCTGCCTCCACCCCCCCCTCCCGCCTCCTTTGAACTGTATACGAAAATCTGACCCCCGTTGTTTTTTTCTATTGCTCTCAGGGAACTACGTGCACGACAACGGCGACGCCGGGTTGGCAATGCTCGAGTCGTTCAACGCCGATGTGTCCGAGAACACGTTCGAGAACAACAAGTACGGCGTGCGGTTGAGCGTGGGCTGTGCCGACAACGTCTTCTCCAACAACACCATCAGCAACAACGCCGAGTAAGTACGGCCGGGTTTGTTTCTCATCCAAACGTGCGACATCCACTCTGCCGTTTACCACCTGGTATATCGGCATTGATCCACGTGAAAATGGCACAGCAATGGTGCTCGTCTGCCGGAGCACTCACCCCCCATGATGCCCCCCGCCCCCATTTTGTTCCGAAAAGCGATGTACTCACCCGAACCCCCTCCCCCCTCTCTCCGCCCTTTTCAGGTACAACGCCTATTCGTACCTTGGGACGGACGAGCCGGACGTTGTTTCTTCCGGGCGGTCCCAGAACAACGTATTCTCACAGAACTCCTTCTCCGGCGCTGAGGAGACGATCAAGATCAAGGAGGCCGACGGCACCCAGTTCCTCGACAACATCTTCGAGATTGGCGATGCCGATGGCCTGGTGGTGCGGTTCGACAATGCCACCGAGAACCTCATGCAGGGCAACACCGGGCTCGACGACGGGGAGTTCGAGCTCAAGGTGGACAACGACGCCTGCTTTGACGGGGAGTCGGACTCCGGCTACGAGCCCGTCTGCTGAGTGACATAGCCGTACTCCGCTTGTGTGCAGATTTTGTGGACGGCCAAAACGGCTGCTGTATAGTATAGAGGTGTTGGTTTTGCTAGCTCTCAGCAGGGTACAACAACTCGGTCGTACGTCGGATTGTGCCGGCAGCATAATCATTATCAAATTTGGCTGCATTACTGTTGTTCTCACCTTTTGTCATGGCATGGTTGTTCGTCCTTGGCATCCAAATTGTAAGGGGATTAGGGTTCCTTTCGTTGTACTTGTACGATTGTCGTCGTTCGCGATTGAATTTTTCTCGCGGACGCTACCTAGATTTCGTCGCTCTCGTGATTGTTGGTGTTTGTCGTGTCGATATTTCTGTTTCACGCCATCTAGATTTTCATCGCCCTCGTGATAATTGGTGGTGATCGTTGTGTTGTGAGTTGATATTTAACGCGTGGTGTGCATGCCCCGTACTATCTCAGCGTAAAGAAACGCGAATTATTGTTGACTTGCGGTGTGATGTGGAGTGGTTGTCGAGGACGCAAGCTGAGAGGCAACAAAGAATATGATAATGGCCAAACAAGCGGTGTTCTGAGAGTATGTTAACACCTTGTTTGGCCCTTGCTTCGAATGTTGTTGTCTTTGTATGTGAGCATCGTGTGTTTGGTCCAGGCTACAGTACTATTATTGAAAGTCGTGATATATTCTGGTTGTTTGTGTTACATCTTGTTTTCGGGTACGATGGTACAGCCGTTTCCTTTTACCAGCACTGTGTGGAATTGTTGGGTGGTTTGTTTCGTGATAAGCAGGAAGGCGGATGCCATTTCCGCTTGTCATGCGGGACGTGGAGAGATCGGCCGAACGTACGTATTTTGAAGCAACAAGGCCGCCCTTCGGTGATACTGATGCAATAGAGCTTCCATGCGACCAACTGGTGTTGAGAAGGTATATTTCCCTTGAGAGGACCTTGTGCAAATACCAAAGGCGTGTGTGAGTTTCAGTTTCGAGCTTAGGGTTCGAGAAAGTGTAGGCATTTTCGTATTTGAATGTTGCGATATGTCCTCCAAAGAGACATTGATCACGTTAATTGTTTTAGGGAATTGCCCACGTCGAGACCCACCCGACCATCTTCGAGCTTTAGGCGTCCAAACGCCATGCCACGCGCTTCCGTGCGAAGCACAACAGGCACGAGAAGCACAGGAGGGAGAAGAGTGGTTTCATTCTTGTGTCGTGTTGATGTTATCGCCCTAGAAAGGCGGTGTTGCTACGTTGTTCGGGAACGAATATCGACATGTCTGTGCGTACATTGACGATGAATGATTTGTATCCCACAACAGAATGACAAAACAACCATGCAACACAAAGGTGTACTACATGTACCGTGATCAACATGATACCTGAGGGCGTGCAACGGGTTGCCCCCCAGCCCCCCATTGTGGCGGGCGGTCAGAATGAGACGGTTGAGAGGAACAAGTGTTGGGAGTGAACAAAATCGGAAGGTCGACGGGTGTTTGGAGAAAAATTGTCCAATCATCCGAGGAGAGGGGACCTGTATTAGAGGCGTTCCGGCATCACTTAGTGGGGATGACAAAAGTTGCGAGGAGCGCAAGAGGTAGAATGTGAGGTCGTGTTATGGCAGGAATTGACACAGCGTGGTTCGCGTAATAGAGTGGCATGAATTTCGCTCGATGCTCCAATCGTAAGACATGGAACCTCACGGAAATCACTGGTGGGAACACTCCAGTACCTCGGTGTTAGTTGCTGCAATCCAGCCCTTTCATGAGGAACCAATTTGCGTCAGGTGCCCGAACGAGCGATGATGAAGAGGGAACATTCACGCGTGGGCACTCCCACAGGAGCTGCTACAGCTGGACACCGTAAACCCCAACCCAAAGAAAACGGATCCATAGCAAGTCCGGCGACCAGTTGCCATAGAAAACGAGTTGGCATTCGTTCAGGACGAATCGAAAAATGGCAACTCATAGACTAGAACAATCGATTGAGTGTTCACCAAAAACGTGCCCCATCTGCATACATACTTATTTATTAATCACATCACCGAGGTTCTCAATACAATGCAACGCGGAGAAGCAGCACGGATTTCCAATTATGGTAACAACCATTCCGTTGCAACCTGTCGCAAAACATGCACATGCATGTCCTGGCCCCTTTTGCCACAGGCTGAAGTGTGAGAGCCCTAAGCCAAAGCATACTTGCAAACGAATGGGGAAATTGGTCTTGGACACAGGGAAATACTGACTACGCTGAGAGCTCTAACGTTTGCGTGCCCGTTAACATCCCGAGAACGCATAAGGACGACAGCGTTCCATCGCCTTCACCCCACCCACTACAGAACACGGGTCTAGAATCCCTATCAGCGAGCGGCAGCGGAAAAATCAGTCATGGTGGACACGCTAGACTCGGTGTTGCTCTGGTGGTCGGACGCCCCCCCGAACTTTCCTGCAGCCCCGCTGCCGTCACCGCTGAAGCTGGCCGTCACCGCTGAAGCTGGCCGTCACCGCTGAAGCTGGCCCCCTCCTCGCCAAGGCTGCTGGTGCTACCGATGCTGCTCCCCCCGTACCAACTGCCGCCGCCTCCGCCGCCGAGGTATGTTCTGTTCCATGCCACGCTCCCAAACACCCGGCTGCCAACGTCGGTGTAGGCGCTGCACACGCTGGGGGCGTGTAATGCTTGGCTGGCTAAGGATGAGCAAGAGGATATACGGGCGATGGTCATGCTCTGTCGACGTTGCTTAGAAACCGGGGAAAGAGACTCGTTGGAGTAGTCAGAGGAGTAAAGGCTCGAGCCGGTCGAGTGCACCCGACGGTGGACCGCCACCGGGACAACCTGGTGTAACGTGGGTCGGGCATAGAGAGTCGGTCTCTCAGGGGTCTAACGGGACATAGCAGGAGTCGTGTTGATTGCACGGATGGATGTTTTTATTGCAGTAGACTACATAGTTTCGGGCAGAAAAAGCCTAAATTTGGGTGTTGATTCTTGTGTAGTCACGATCGATCGCAGTCTCTCTGGCTCGCGCTGCGGAGGAGGGAGGGATGGGAGCGAAGTGAAATTGTCGCGGGTCAGTGCCGCTGATGCCACCAGCAGATCATACTGGGCTGACGTCTGGTCATTGATAAACCTATTAGCGCGGTCAGTACGACAAAAAATGGGCACACCGTACCTTTCGAGCCTTGACTGGGCCGCCTTGCGTGGACGCCAACGGTGGCTCATCGGGGTGATCGCCGATGTTGTTGTTCCCGCCGTACCCCCGCCCGCCGTGTCCATCACCACCGTCACCGTCACCGTCACCGACACCGCTCCCCCCGTCACGGCCCCCATCATGTTCCCCCCTCGACAAACAGACCAACGAACGGCCGTTTCGGTTTCTACTCGCTTGGACGTCCTTCATCTGCCAACCAGTTGCTTCTGATGTATAGTAGGTGGTCGGTGGCGTGGAGCGAGACAAGCGGGCAAGACGAGAGCGATTCAACACGGTTCGAGAGGTGCAGGCAGCGGGCGGGGACCTAACAATAGGGTCAAAACAGTGAGATCTGTCCAGGTTGCTTACAAAGCCAAGCAAGCTGTTCAGTTGGCTGGCGGGGCGGCGTATTGGTAAGAGTGGAAACAGTATCAACCGAATATCTACATCAACGGCAGTCTCCCTGCATTCCATTTGCGGAGGTGGGCAGCAATGGGTTGCATTCATACCTACTTCAACATAGGGTACCTACATCCATGAGTGATATATGGAGATGACGATGCAGATACGTGTCCATGTCGTATGCAACACTACAAATGTACAGACTCAAACGGGTGATAGGGCGCCATTCCGATAGAGGAGGAGACGGGAACACCCGTACAATAGCCACAAGACGTGAAAAAGGAACACTCGTGAGTTGGTACGAAGAAGGGAACTCGAGAACGTACATTAGTGAGCAAAGAGGTGACCGTTGTACATCACAACACGGTGGGGATGAGACGAGACTCCGGCGTGAAATCAGGGACAAGAATCCACACACCAACACAACAAGTGTGGCAACGGCGTCGGGATAACAACAAAATGCACGGCGAGTTCACCAGGGGTACATCCGGAGCTTCATATCGAAAGGGCGTTTGTGGATTTCGACGACGTCCCCCAACCCCGAAGACGAAGACTTGTTCTCTTTCAGACGTTTTTTGTTGTGTGCCGTTGGCCATTCGTATCGTACCACTTGCCTCCCGACGTACTCCACACCTCCCTTGCCGGCTACATAAAGGGTGTCATTGAGTGTTTGGGCGGCTGACTGCGCAGTACAGTGGTTTAGGCTTTGGGAGAATCATGGCTACACTGATCTTCCACCTAATCCTGCATTGCCATAACCTACGCGTTTGGTACAGGCCCAACCCTGGCCCTAACTACAGTCTAAGTTCCTCGCTCGAACCTTCTACGTCGCCGCTTCCCCAGATGTTGCTTCCGTGCTCCCGAAGCAACGCCGTCGCGTCTTCCTCTTTGCTCTGAGCCGGCGATGCTGCCCCCTCCACCCTCAAGACCGATGCTGTCATCCGCGAGGCGTTCGGGCACGCGGCCGTCAACTGGCGCGCGCCGCCCGTCTTGCCGCTGGTCGTGCAGTCATCGCCCCGCACACTGGCCTGCTGAGCAGCCGCAGCAGCGGTGTTTGTTTCGCGGTAGCTGTCGAGGCTGCGGTTGCGGACGCGAACGACCTCGGAAGCCGTGGGGGGCCGAGAGGGGCGGCTCTCTAGCCCGTGCTGCTGCTGCTGCTGCTGCTGCTTTTGTTGAGTCCATAAAGGGGGAATGTAAGAGGCTTCTCGGCCTGGTGCGCTGCGATTGGAGTTCTCTTTGGCTGTCTGTGGTGCAGCAACGCGTGGCGGAGGGTAGAATGTGATTCGGACATCGTCTAGTGCGAGCATGGACCCCGAAAAGCTTGCTACCAATAGCTCGTCACGGGTGTCGAAACGGTTCTGATTTTGATTGACAAGAAACAACGGCGGAGAAACAGGCCCGGTGTCCGTAGTTCGAGACGTTTCTTGGCTAGAAACACAACCGGTGATTTCGAGATCTGCCCCAACGCCGTTCTCTTTCCTCCTCCCCTCGCCAGTCTGCTCTTTTTGCCCGAACCGCCTGCCTGTCGCCAGCAGGGCGCTCCCCCCTTCAAGGCTAGTCAACACGGAACACCCCACCGGCTCTACGGGCATAACAGGCGGAGCCTGAAACACCACCTCGTCTTAATCTATCCCCAGGATGTTGCGTTCGAAATCCTGACCTGGGGCTCTCTACACGCCCCCGCCGCCCCGCCGCTCGTCTTCCTGTTGCCTCTGCGTTTCGCACGGCCGGGTTGCTTTATTTCAGGCTCTTCGTCGAAGATGGAGTCGAACGTGGCACCGGAGTCGGTGGTCCTGTGGCTGCCCAGATTGGCAGTAGCTTGTGTGAGCTGCGCTGTTTGAATCGACGACGCCTCTTTGCTGAGGGCGGGGCTCTTCCCGGGCAGAGGCTCGCTGGGCTGCGCCGCCGGTGTGGCGGACACCCCCCCCCAGGCCTTGCGGTTGTCGGGGCCCCCACCGCTGCCGTAGGTGCGGTCTGAATTGGTTTCCCAGCCTCGACCGCCTGCTGCGCCTGAGGACGGTGGCGGTGGGGCGTGGTAGGGCATTTCCTTGGTTAAGACATCATTCTTCCGCAATCTCGACAGATGATATATTACGGTCCCAGCGGCCGGCCGAGTTGCTCGGTCCGTAGCCGGGTCGATGTTCCGCTTGAAACGCCATGTTCGAGCAACGGAAAGGGCGGGAAACAGGAGTCGTAAAGACCACAGCGAACATGCAAGCAAGCGAGCAAAGCACGCAAGACTCACTTTCGCTGCCGGTGATTGGGGAAAAGATTGAGGCGTGCCGGTCGGATTCGGACTCCCATTCCCCGCTGCTGTAGTCGGCCTCAGCAACGGTGGGCAGTCGCTGCTCGGAGAGGTCGAGACTGCTGCCCGAGATTCCCCGCATCCTGCGCCCGGGCCACTGCCCCTCGTCCTCCAGCTCCTGGTTCTCCTTGCGCGGTCCGCACCCCTGCGCCCGGCGAGTGGCACTTGCCCGGGCGTACGTGGGGTTGTCGGCGGCAACTCCGGACGTGGCGTACCTACTCGGCCGGCGTTGTTGCGACGGCGAATGTAGTGACATGGTGTTTTGGGAGGGTGTCCGGCTTTGGAAATAAAGATAAACGTGGTTCTTGGTGCATTAGCGGCATCTACTCGTTACTTTGTTTACGGCCAGCGGGTACAGAAGGCTAGGGTTCATTCAGGTTCGCGCGCGGATCGTTGCGGTCGGGGCACGAGAGACTCAGGTTGCTAGCGTCGACCGTCCTCTCGTGCTCTTCGCCGAGTGACTTCCCCTTCCACCGTCTTGCCCGAAGGGTCTGCGATGTGCCATTTCGCATGCCGCCCCAACGAAGAGATCGCGAAAGGATATGGCAGCGGCATAGATATCCGAGATCAGGGCGGACACGAGAGGCCAGCAAGGCTTAACCCACCGATAGTCTGTGCAACCCCGCGAGTACCCGAGGTCGTGCGTGGGCACAACATGTTACCAACAATTCTGTGTATGCAAGTGCGGTCGTTCTTATTGATTACCTTAGGCGGGAATGCGGTCGATCGGCCAGCAGTGTACAGTAAAAAACGGTCTGCGCTACAGTACACCCCTCTGGCACAGCAAACGGCGGTGGTCACATACCCAGGGCTCTCGACGTCCCCGTACAACTGCCGGTCTCCACGGCCCCCTCCGTGCATAGGGTTGTCGAAGGTGAACTTTGTTGCGTTGCAGGCGAACAGCCGCAGGGCAAGCGAAGGGGTTTCGTGATCAAGTACAGAGGGGGTTATAGACGATAACATGTGGTGCGTTTTCACGTATGGCCAGGTCGGAAGGTGACCATGGAGGTACAACACAAGCCAGTGACAACAGAAATACGAGAGAAATCAGAGATGACACGCCCTGTACCCGCGGGACTTTTCAATACCACTTCGTGCAAGAAATGAGTCCTCAAGCCTGTTATCAATAGGTCGACAAGAGGCAGGTACCAACTAGCCTCACGGTCCTATCCCCCAAGCCCAACTCCAAGGCTCAACCGACTCGACCCAACTTGTGCTTTGGAAGACAGATGTCAGCAGCCGTGCATGCTAGTAGACTCGTGTACATGCGTCTGCGCAAACTTACCACGACAACTTGCTTAGTGGTTGAGGTACGGCAAAGAGACTTCAAAGGCGTGTGCTGAAGCGAGGTCTAGATGACCAAACATTCGCCCGAAGAAGTTCCGTCAAAGACGTGAAAGACTCTTCGCCTGCATACCACGGTGGACGTGACGCGCAACAAGTCACCCCAAAGTGAATCATAGACCGTAGTTTCTGGTTTCTTGAGAAGTCAACACAGCAAGGCGTTGGAGGCAGGTGGAAACTGCACCAAGGCGTCAGAAATATAAGAGATATGCGCCCTTCCGAGTGGATCCCAACCTAGCCTTGACCCTTCTCTTAGCGCATTGCGGCACAACACTCACCCCACCCTGGGAACCAGAGCTCGACCTCAAGCACATGTCGTCTCTGTCGATCAGTGCCAACGCAGGGTTCACCTTCCGGTCGGCGTGCCGGCCCCCGGCGGCGGTCATTTTCGCCGTCACCCACCCAGCGCGCCAGACCCCCCCGCTATCCCCGCTGTTTGCTGCGCCGTCGTACTCGTGCCGTCCGGACACCACACCGGGCTGCGGCACAGGCAATCAGGATTTGGAAGCGTGTAAACGTGTCACCGGGTGGGTTCGGGTTTCTGATTTCGAGGAGAAGCGGTGCCACGGCGGGGGAACGGCCGCGGGGAATCACGAATACCACCATTACTCTGAGCTCCGAGTGCAAGACCGTTCCCAACGCTTTTTTCGATAAAGCGGGAGGCGCTCCCTTGCGGCCAGCGGAGAGCTAGACTTTGATTTTCACAAGCCCTCCCCCAGACCCGTCCCATGTGCACACACGGGGTCCCCGGACCCTGTGCAAGCAATTATTTTCGATTGATATTGGATTTACTTAGCGAAGGCGACCCCTCTACCAAATATTTCACCTTTTTCATACGCTGAACAAACACCGCGGGAGCGCCGGCTTTGCTGTGGCCGGCCACAGTCATTATGATGGGCTTGCCCGTCCAGGACTCGTCCTGGGCGCGCTCGCGCTCGATGCAGCTGTGTATGCAAACTACGATGAAGGCTGGAATGGAAACCAGGCCGATCGCCAGGAGCCAGGTGTGATACCCGAGGGTCACATCGTCGCCGCCGGGTGTGCTGGAGCCTGAACGAGCGACGCGTAGCGAGTCGGTAGCCGTGTGCTCTCTCGTGTTCACAAGGTACAGGTGACTGATGCCAAGAATCGCATGTTTCCAGTGTGGGTTGTGTGCATGACAAGGGAGATCTGTCCGGTTCTGGCTAGCCTGCACAACTTCGATTGACGGAGAAGACCGAGGGGTGATGAAGAAGAAGCGGGGGCTCTACCGGACCCTGCACATCGGGGCACTCAGGGTCGTCTGGACAACTGCAGCGCGCAAGGAGGACGCAATGCGATTGCACCCGAGGACGTTTCTAAGGGGACCGGACGATTCATGGCATATGGTCGCAAGAGTTTCGAGAAGCTACCAGACTGGCTGCGATTCTAACCAAGAATAAAAAGGGTGCGTGTCCTCCTTTCATTGGCATCGAGTGCCCTCTCGGCACACGTGTGTCGTAAGCACCTCCACTTTCCCTGGTTTCTATAGCATATATTGTCTATACCAATGTGCGTGTATTTCGGTGGGGGTGTGTGGTGTCCTCAAAGTCGCCATGATCTGAGAGTACGCCTGTATTTTGGGCTTTGGTAAATCCGTATCATATAATGGCACCGGATAGGGTGTTGCATGTGATCTTGTTTCGTGTACGGAAAACCCAACAGAAATCGTTCTCCCCACGGAATGACAAGCATCGACCAGGAACCGACCACGCCTCGTCTTTCTCTCTCTCTCTCTCTCTCTCTCTCTCACCGCTGAACTCGAGCGACCCAACGTCGAACTCTTTGTCGAATACGAACTTCTGCCCTTGGTAAAAAGCGAGGTTGCTGAAGCCTAGGTCCTCCACATCCACTCCGAGGTCGGTTGCCAGAGAAGACAGGACGGCCTTCAACGGACCACGTCATCGAGGATTGGAGGAAGCGAGAAGGGGGGGGTCCGCGGAAGGCATACTCAGGAAGTCGGCAATCGGGGTTCAACGAAACACGAACAAGACAACATACAACTGTTTCGTCTACTGCAACACGCCCTTCCATTTTTCATGCTGGCCTGAGAGTAAGCGAGGGTGAGAGAGGGGACCGGGAATCTCAGGGCCAGTCGCTCTTAATCATGGACGGCGAGATCACCTCCGCCCCTGTGCGCCAGGACTCGTCCCACCAGGACATCACGACAAACAAGAATGGGATTAATAGCAAGTTTCTAACGCGGCACGCGCCAGCAATGACAAGACAACTAGTGGGGGGTTCTGCCTGTTAAGGTCTCAATGCTTCGACATGGAGACAACGTCGCGTTGATCCTGTTGCCTGTTTCACTTGGAGGTAGCAGATGTGCCCTACAGTACGTGTGATACCTCCTCCGAGATCTTGCATTCACCACCGTCGTGATTGGATAGGATACAAATGAGACCACTTCCGTCCGTGCGGGTAGAGTAAAATTCACCCAGACGTGCGGAGGGAACGCAAGCCGCCGATGCCCACCGTGGTTCATCAGCTACAAGGTAGATATTCCTTTCTCCCCGCGCCCCCCAAACTATATAAGACGCCTCGCGTTAATCTTCCATGTGGCGCATAACCCGTGGTACCGTGCACTGCAGTAGCTCGCACGCCTGGGCTAGGTGCAGTTATCCATTAGCGCCGTTGCTTGTCGCGGTGCGCTACGTGCCCGCCAGCTTCAACCGCGCGGTGCATTGCTGTTCGTCTCACCGGGTCTGCAACGTTATTGATGAATGCTGCCGCCAGCTGCGACTCCGTCAATACCTCTCCGTCGTCCCCTTCTGTGCCCTCCCCTGTGGGCAACTTGAACTCCACCCCGGTGATGTCTCCTAAGCGCCGGCGCCGCCCCAGCTCCTGACGCTGTTCCGACCAAAACGTCGTTGGGTCACGACTACTCGCGGCCGCAGCACCTGCCTCCAGCTGGCGGTGCTGCGGCGCTCGTCTCCGTACTCGACTCAATATCTCTTGCTGCCCGTGCCTCTGGCTTTGGCTGTGCTGCGCCCCTGCTCCAACTGCCGCAAGCATCCTGGAAGCAGGTCCCTGTATAGCAGTGACTTCGGCCTCCACGTCGACCGAATCTTCCCCGTGCGGGCAGGAGCCGAGACCGCACACCACCTGCCCGCAGCCGCCGCCCCCAGGACGAAGTTTTTTTCACATCGGCGTTTCATGGAACGATGGGGGTATTGGGGCCGTCGGGAAGTGTTTGAGCCTTTCTTGTGACGCATGTCTGAATGTCGGAAGTTTCTCTTGCTGGATGCACGAAGAACCACCACATAAAATCGTCTGCTCTGTTCAGCTCTCGCTCCTCAGAGGGGAAACCAACAGTGAATATACATTGGTTGAAGTGCAGGCGCGGTTCAAAATCAAAATTCTTTTTTAAAATCGACCCTCCATATTTTGACTTCCAATTTCGTCTGCGGTTGCGCGTTCTGAAAAAGTAGCACCGACTACACTGTACCCCGAGATATGACAAGAGAGCGCCTCCTAAAGCGACGGGGCTGAGGACCTACAAGTGTCGAACCGAACCCAAGCGCAAGGAAACCCAAGTAACAAAATGTTCCGACTCTAGTTGTGGTTGCAGCGACGCATTGAACCCGTTCAAACGGTTTCGAGGACAAGAAACATCTTTGACGCTCTTCCAGACTTGAGAGTACACGGGTCAGTGCTCGATTTGACGACCGAATGCGAGCACAAGTTGGTCAGCGTACAACCACGTGGTGCTCACGTGTAGACTGGTATCCGCCAGCTGCTCTACAGAGCTTCTGCTGGGCGCTTTAGAACGAAAATGGCGGCATAGACTCACTCCTGGGCTCCCTCCGGCTTGGCCAAGCTGAAGCTAACCCTGAAACCAATGTACGCCGAAACCCATTGCACGCCCCAACACATCCAAACGCTCCCCACTCACCAGGAGTGGCCAAACGCTCCCCACTCTCTAACGCTACCCCTACTAACTCGAGGTGGTCTCGCGAGCAGAGAACTGACGAGAGAGAAAACAAGCGATGAACGTCTCACACGCCGCACCTGCCGAACGACGCCCGCGACTCCGAGCGAATCGAGGAGGGTGTCCGACACCCCCTCCGCGGAAAACGACCCGACCACAAACCCAACCGCGTCACCCCTGGAAGAGTCGCTAAGGGCCGCAGTTGGTGCTGCGCTTGGCACCGTACTCGGAGAAGGCGACCACCTGGGCAAACGACCAAAGAGGAATGGAAATGTTTCCCACGATTTGAGAGATCGGGGAGAAATTCCTGCGGGGACCAAAACTGCTGCGGTAGTGTCCAGCTTGCGGAAAACAATAAAAGAGGGTGCGCAGGTTTGGAGAGGCAGTATCGTCGTCCGGACGATTCGGTCGTCGTTACCGTGGACACGGTCTTGAGCCATATCTCTTGTTGTCAATCTTACATCGAGGCGTCCGCGCCCGCTAGAAACGTACGACCCGGCCGACACTCGACGGAAGAGGATCGAGACACATGTGATGTGATGTGATATCCTCCTCAGCTAGGAGTCATCTGGCGAGCGAAATAGTGCTCAGGCTATCGTAAACAAGAACATGCGGCTAAGGCAAATAGAACGGCGGGTGGCCTCGCCTCGAAGTCCTCTGTGTACCATAGGTTGCGTAAGATATCACACCCCCTGGGCCGATTTCCAAAGCTCGTTTATCTCCGTAGCAGAGGGGGTGGCGGTGCCGGAAATGGCGACATTGGAAACGTCTCGTCGAGATCTTTCCGATAAATGAAGTATTTGCTTTAGGCATCCTCGTTGTCGTGGAACAAAAAAGGTTTGGAATTCGGTCCACGGTGTGTGGTATCTTATGCAACCTGCGGTAACACTAGCGTTTGATTTCACGGTGGTCACCTAAAACGAACGGAGAACGTCGACCAAGAACCGCAATTTTGCCAAGAACTGGCGAGGGCACCGCCTGCTAGAAAACTCCATCACTTCAACCTCGCGCTGCCTCAGATCTGTTTTCTCCTAATCCCCATGGAAACGAAATGATTGATTGTATTGATTGTCGCCGGTCGGCTGTTCGCTTGCCGTTTCGGGCGCGCGTGTCCCTGTAAACGTTTTTCTCCGTCGTCATTTTTTGCGCACGTGGTGAGCCACAGAATTCTCCTGACCAAGCATCGCCACACACTGAAGCTTATTCATGACGGGGCACACGAATCAGCTATCGCAAGACTGGGACGTCATTCTGCTGGCTCTATTTGCCTCTTCACCTTGCCGTTGACGATGATCTCAAGCCGGCGGACGATGTCAAGGACGGTGCGCTCTCCCCCTGTTTCGTTGGAATTCGGAAGCGAACCACCAGGACAACGGGTGCGAGGACATCACACTCACACACGCCGGACTTTCTGGTGTCATTCGATCCCCAACCATAAGCCGGAAACGCGTTGGGTGTGTGGTATTGACTTGTTCCTGAGAAATCTGATGCTTCAAGCGAATAACCACCTAGTTTGACCCTAATCGCGAAACTGTGCATTCAGGCGGCTTTTAAGTGCGCACCGTCGGGCTCTTGAGGCCGAAGACGTCGTACTTTGCAACGATGTACCTACTTTCTAAATAGATTGCACGCAGCCGTCGTTGATGTCGTTGTTGTTAGCTGCTGCTGTCGCGGCTGCTGCTGTTATCTCGTGTCCAAAATCTCGTAGCTCTACATCTCTACCCAGTACGGCCTCCCGAACGGTTCTCAGGACACACACACTCATCCACTCCCCCATGGGAAAATTCTTCGATTTTTCTCAACTTGCAGACGTGACTAGTGGTAGTTCTCAGGACGCTCTCTGAAGCGCCCACAGCAGCCTCTCGAGACGACTCTCCGAGAGCTTTGAGTGACATTGACAGAATTGACACTGACAGAGTTGAGTCCTCCCGCGGAGGTCTGACGGTGATGCTCGCCCGCCCACCCCGCCCAGGGCTACTCAGCCCGCCGGCCTGTAAGTGATCACTCACCACCGGGGATCGAGTCAGGATAGTCTCGGGGGCTCCCTTGTCGGAGGGTGCCGGCGTATCAGAGGCCGGCCCTTGGTCCTCGATGCTACCGCGGTCGCTGTCGCCGCCGCCGCCGTCGTCGTCGCCGTCGCCGTCGTCATTGTCGTCATTGTCGTCGTTGTCACCATTGTCGTAGTTGTCGTCGGTATCGTAATTGTCGTCGGTATCGTTGTCGTAGTTGTCGTCGGTATTATCATCATCACCGTCGTCGTCGTCGCCGGAATCGGCGTGCGAATCCCCCTCGTCCTCTGTGCGCGAGGAGTGCACGAACAGGAGGGTCAGTTTGAACTTACACCGCAATCAGCAAATAGGACAACCCTTCGGGTTTTTCTCTCGCATGTGTCGATCACTCTCACCTTCCACCACGACGCACGGCGCCTTCCAACCGGTCTCCGAACACAGAATGCCACTAGCAATAATACTGCTCTTGCAGCATTCTTCCCCGTCATCTCCCCTCGAGGAACACCCGGAGCCGCCGCACGTGCCGCACGTCGCGCTGCAGCAGACGGTACCATCGACGACCCCATCGCATATAGAAGGATCGACAGAGCCCGAATCCGATGACCAAACCAGTGACGACAAACGAGACGACGAACTAGACTCCTCTGAATCATCGTCGACTAAGGTGGCTCGCCGGCTATGACGTTTGTCGGTCGACTTGGAGCGGAGAATGCGGGTGGTTCTTCGCGGCTTGAGAATCGACGGCGACGGCAACGACGCCGGTACAACTCTGTCGATGGGGGTTGTGGGAGAGGGACCACCAATAGCTACAGCAGCAAGAGCAGCAGCCGCAGCAGCGAGCGCTTTCCCCTCTTCCCTGGATCCCTCCTCACCACCACGCTCCACTACCGCTTCTCCAGGCGGCAGTGGCCGAGCGTGTCCGTAGCCCTCGTGGTCCACGGACTGTGAAGATGCTTCCCTCTGTTGCAACCGCCGCGGGTTTTGGGTGACGCACGGCGCGTCTTCCAGCTCGCAGCCGGCGCTGGCCATCCTGCACGCGAACAGCTCCTTCACCACGGGGTTATCCCGACACTGATTCTCAGACACGGTGGCATATCCTTCCTCCGCGCCCACAGCACCAAGAGCGGTCGTCATTCTTGCGCACGCCACGGCTCCGAATTTTTCGCAGAGCTTGTTCGACGGCGACCCGGCCCCTCCGGAGAGTAAGGAAGGATTTATTCTGAACTCGTCCCAGATAACCCGTGGCCGGCGATCGCCACGCACCGTCGACTCTTCGCCCCCCATCCCGCCCTCACCCATTCTTCGTGCTTCGCAGTCTCTACAATCGGCGTCTTGGACGCATGCGGCGGCCTCGGGACCGCAAGGATTTAGCACCACTGCGCTCCTTCTGTCCTCCCCCAAGCCCACCGTTCTGGCTGCTGCCGCCGCCGCGGCCGCGGGAGAAATACTCGTAGTGGCTCCATCCGCCAACACCGCCAATAGCACCATCATTGGTGTGGACACTTGGCTTCGAGATTGAGGGTGTCGTCGTCGTAGCGTGGCTTGCCTACCTAGGCCACTACCTCCGCCTACACCGGAAAAACAGTGGATGCGGTTGCCCATGGAGGGCGCGAATCAACCGGGTTTGTTGTCGGCGGCAGATTTGGTTGGGAGAGGGAGGGTCGTGCAGAGTTTCAGGCCGTTCGAGGAAAGACCCACGCGAGAGTTAGTAGTATTTCCAATTCGTCAAGAAGAGAACGAACAGCGCGTCTTCATCTCGGAGCGTACTAAATAACAACAACCCTGCCCCTTGACCCCTCCCGTCTCCGTCAAGCCAGACAAATTCGTGGGATAAGGGCACCTACCGTTGTACGTGCGGTCCAATGTCATTCGTTGACAGCAACGGACACAGTCCACGTGTGCATATATGAGTGGCGCAGCAAAGGGAATTTTTTACCATCACAGCCGTGGGCTGAGGAGCAATGAACGTCGTATGCTGCAACGGCAGCGGATTTTGACAATGTTTGAAAAAGGCAAAATGAAAACGACAAGAAGGCTCTGCCAGGCATCCACAGTACGCACGCGCTCGGCGAGAGGTCGCACTCCAAGTTGTTGATGGTGCTAACAACACGAGATCGATAGTATCAAGCATGCAATACTATTGTGCTCGATAGTTTTTGGTTGGGGTTCGCTGGGCCAGAGGAATGTTTATCCAGTCCCCCAGGGGTGATCAGGCACTGGCTTGATGTGACTGATAGACACTAGCAGACAATAACTCAACTACTACAACTCGCTTATGTTTGCGCCAAGAATGCATCGTTTTATTCATACTATGTCGCGTAAATCTGCACGATAATACAGTTCTGAGCACAATAATACAGTTCTTCTCCGCAACTGCAGCATGATGCCAACAATCTCAGGGTTGGTTCCCCTCTCGAGGCATGTTCACTTGTTGACACTCTGTTCCGGCGGACCCGACATTGTTTTCATAACCACATGAGGTACGTCCAAGCGAGTTGCATGATGATTGGACCGAAAATCCCACAAACTCCCTGCCGATACCATCATCGGTTTGATAGGATGGACTAGAGAGTGTGTTCAACACTCGGGAGAGTTATTGTCTAAAGAGATTGCCGCGATGGAGCCCGCAATCAACAAATTAAGGCTGGAAAACATGGTTTGATGCATGCATATGTATGCGATAAATGTTTCTGTGCAGTACAATATTGTGCCGGGCAAGCTTTGCCCCCCCTCTATGCGGTATTTGAGAGGAGAGGTTGCTGACAATAGTTTGGGAGGCGAAGTGGGCAAACAAGAAGAGGGGTAGGCAACCAACGGAGTGGGTCAAGGTTGTAGGTGACGACGTATGGAAGAAGTAAGAAAGTGAAGAAGGTGAAATGCTGAAACAGAAGGTCCATATTCAAGGGGAAGATATCTGTTGCTTTTTCCGAAAGAGAATCACCGAAGAATCTAACCATCGAAACGAAGGATAAAGAGGGTTTGGATGTGTAGAGAATGTTGAAATAGGGTTCAACGCTCGTCCTTGGACCACCAGTGGATTCTGGCCAAATTTTGGATCGAGGACATTGCCTTCAAAAATGTAGACAAAGAGCTTTGATAAGGTATAGACGATGAAAACGACCAAGTTCAAATGTGAATGCGGCTCCGATTGCGAAGACCGGGTTCGTTCATGTACTTGCGGAGTGTCCGTCGCACAAGAAGGAGAGAGAAGTGCACATGACTGAGCTCGGAAAAGCAGGATGGACTACAGAGAGATGTTTGAGTCATGGATTTGCCAGGAGAAGGCGGTAGCTGTACTGGGACAAGGATATAGATAAGGTAGATAGGCTCAATATTGAGCCACCCTTCGCGGGTCTCCCACACTATCTACCGTTTTGCTAAACCGCCCATGGGATACCCATGGGCAGCCCATGGGGCACCCATGGTTGACCCATGGGCATACCCATGGGCAGCCCATGGGCGGCCAATGAGTGTGCCCTTCAGCCGGAACCAGTATACTCCTAAACAATGTAGATTATCTGCTCTGGAATGGGCATTTGTAGCGGTTGATAACTCTAACGCTAACCCTAACCCCAAGCCCGCACGATACATGCTAGGTTGGTGCTGGGTTGGAGTTAGGTGGTTAAAGTATTAGGCCGATGGCTAAGTTCTAGGTTGATATGCCGGTCGCGAGTTCTAGGTTGAAGTGCCCACGGGTAGGCACTTCGTCGGAAATGGGCGCCCATGGGCGGCCCATGAAGTGCCCATGGGCGGTTTATCAAGATGCGGGAGATTGTCTTTGGCAAAATAAGAAGAACGATTGGCCATCGGTGATCGGTCCTGCAGTGGGAATAATGCTCCGTCCTCTCGAGGTCGGGTGGTCAACGGTCTACATAGCCGCGAAGAAAGGCAAGCAATACATGATAATACTCCCCCCCCCCCTCCCCCCCCCTATCATTGCGCCATTGCACCAACCCCCCACGATCGCTGGTGGCCCGTTTTTTTTTCTTTGCTTCGCTTGCCCATGTGTACTTTTCGTTTTTCTATGCAGGACTGATGCTACGGTACGGGGGTACACGTTTCGGGTGACAACCTAGACGTGTGGCCCTGTTTCGGTTGCGCCGATCTTGCGGCGACATGACGCGGTCAACAGATTTATTTACGTATGGTGTGTCTCCCTAACCAGAAGACTTAATTGTAAGATGAGGTAAGCCCCCTACCATCGCTCGCAGCTATCGTACTGGAACACCGGGGGTACGTCGGTGCAGTAGCACGGGGCCATGCTTTATTCCATCGCAGGCAAGATAGTCTGTAGGTACGTACATAGTCTATGTATTTTCCGGCGGGGAGGACTGCCGTACTGGCCATACCAGTAATTGTTATCGCCTGTGCACGGCCTGACCAGCGAGAACCCGACACGGGACACCTCGCCGGCCGTGTTGGGGGCACCAACACTGAACCATGTACCTCTCCGACCCGTGATATTCACTGCCAGTTTCCTTTTGCCTCACATCGTGTGCGTAAATATGTAGAGGGAAGCGAAGGGCTCCAGACTTCGTGTATATACATACGTACTACATATGCTAAATAGTTTTTCTGCCTCTCAGTTTTTTTTCGCTGCCCGGACCGTTCGGGTCTATTTCATTTGAGTATAGTCGATACCGTTGACCACGAATGGCTGCCTTTGACCACGGGAATCGACCGCGTCGTCAAGTGGTAGATCAATACTGACAGAAAGAGTGGGCAGAGATGAGATCGGAACGGCTTTCAATGTAAAGACAACGGCATCAATGCTTGGATAGAGAATTGACATCAGGTGTAGCTTCCCATATGAGTTCTACAAGCTGCTTTGATGTGAAGGCAACTGCTGAAAACGCATGTCTAGAGTTAGTGAGTGCGACAAAACTACACAGTAGATCATGAGGGGCACATGTGACGTGCTTATCGTGGAACAGGACATCACCCCACCACCATCGTACTCGCTCGGCTACGGCTGAACAACATTTTCCGATGGGATTCGCAAACATGGGAGGGCATGCGGTGGAGAGTGAGACATCACGACGCGTCACGCTGGATGTACAAAAATGTAGGGAGTAGGAGAGCGAGAAAGAGAGATGGAGAGATCAGATGTGAAAAGCGAAATTGAAACTGGCGGGGTCACACGAGCGTACATGTTCCGTAGGGACTCACCTGGTGGCGTGGGATCCATACCAATCACGGCTCTCTCTCGCCCTCTCGCAATCTCTGGTAGGGTCGGAGTCCCCCAGACGGACGGAGCCAAGGTACACCGGGGACTTTGCGTCGACGAATGAATGTTGTTCAATCGATCGTTCTTAAAACTTACACTATGTATTTGGTTGGCCAATCGACGTTAGACTCACCCAAGATTTTTTTATGTCAGACCCATGTTTATGGTTTCCAAATCTTTATCTTCATTTCTTTGGACAAATGCTGACTTCTTCGACCTTTTGGGGAGTCTGCCTCCCGAGTGAATGCGAATCAGCTGTTCGACCTTTGAGAATAGTCACAGCTTTGCCTGAGATGTATACAGGCTGCCTATTTGTTTTGCCAGGGTCCACGTTTGTTTTTTTTTCCAGCAGTTCAAGATGTGCAAGATTCGGCCCGAAGACCACCTCGGAGCAAATCTTGGGCCAAGATCTGTCCAAAAGCTGGTGTTGGAAAAATCTTGCGTGAAAATTGTGCATCTTGAAAAAATCAAACGTGGGTCCTGGCGAAACAAATAGGCGATCTGTAGACATCTCAGCCAAAGCTGTGACTATTCTCAAAGGTCGAACAGCTGATTCGCATTCGTTCGGGAGGCAGACTGCCCAAAAGGTCGAAAAAGTCAACATTTGTCCAAAGAAAGGAAGATAAAGATTTGGAAACCATAAACATGGGCCTCATGTGCACGGAAAATATCTTCAGAAGTAGTCTAAGTGTCGTTGGTGTCAGACTACTGCTTGCTGCAAGTAAATGCTGTCACACCAACTTCTTGCATCCATCCGTGCTCTGCAAGGTGTCTACTGACTGCCGCTGCCGCTGCCCCTACTCTGCCGCGGGAGAGAGGGTATGACGGCTAGAAGTACTTGAGAAAAACCAGCGCCACAGCAACGCCCCGTCTTCTTGTTATCCCATATAAAGGAGAACACTTTCTTCTCATTGCGGATCTTGAGTATTGTGATGTCAATCAACTAAGATGAGGAGAATGAAGCAGTAGGCCCAAGAATATGAGAATATTTACAGTGGAGTACGATGCTCTATTCCTGGTGTTCAGATTTATGTACCATGTTCAGACTATTGTGTCGTCGTGGGATATCCCTTCCTTCTCACACCCAACCTCAGGGCGGTTTCCAAGTGTTGGCATGACCGAAAAAAACGAACGGCCGACGATATAATCACTCGTCTGCTTGATTTTTCATACTACAACTTGTGCTTGACTTTTTTTTCGTCCTGCATGAATGGGATGCGTTCGGCCGCCTGTCAAGTGGTTGGTGCATGATGGCTTATTTTCA